GCTCTTGTGTGTGTGTGTGTGTGTGCTCTTGTGTGTTTGGGGTGCTATTGCAAACATATAATCGGGTAGCGTAAACACGGCACGAAAGCCGGCTTGCGGCCTTCTGAGCGCGTGGTTTCGGTGAAATGGGGGTAATTCAGATCTCCGTTTCTTTGCTCTTTAGCTATCAAACACCAAATGTTGAACAGTTTGAAAAAGTTCAGATTTTCTTCGGTCTAATAGTGTATGTGTTTGTTTATCCGGGTATTTGGAGCTGGAGAATCGCCACGGAAAGGGAAGCCCCTCGTGGTCGAAATGCGAGGTCCCCAGGTTCAAATTTGAAACCCATGCATTCGAATGCTTTGCAGAAAGATTGATGATTAAATACCGTCTTTTCATTGGCGGAGAACTATACAGCTCTGAGCGTGGTGTCCCGTGCTTATTATTTTTTATCCTTTGGCGTTTATATAGAAAACCTTGAAAAAAAAGGTCGAAGTTTTCAAAGATCATTTTTAACACGAAATGTGTAAAATACCGGCTAAAAAGACGTACCAATGGAAAGAGCAGTTCTTTTTCTATTAGAATAAAGTCATCGGCTTGGAATGATTTCGTATGAATTCTTCTGCGAAACTACCACGAGCACTCAGTATACTACAGTATTAAGCCGGCTCGCTCGACGCGAAGACTGGTGCGACTCAGGCCGAGACAACGCTCGGTGTTTTTATTGAAACAGCGACAGATCATCGTGTTTGAGGCAATAAAATACTGATTTGTAATGATCTGACCGTCTTGAAAAATAGTAGGCTTCATTTCTATGTTATAGTGATTGTACTCTGTTGATGTAGAGATGCTTGGTGCAGTTGGTACTCTTTTACTGTCTGTCAAACATGGGGTTGCAGCCTGTTAACGACTTCAGCAATATTTGATTACTATGTTGAATTGAAACAGCAGCCATTCTCTTAAACATTGACTGAGAGGTAAAAGTATGGTACCAAAATCCTCAGGAGACATAGGCCTTTTATATGAAATAGATGAATTTGACATACGGTACAGCTACTTTCACCCGTGTGGTTCTCGGGGCCCTGTCCAAGAGACAGAAGAGCAAAGAATAGGACCACTGTATCCGTACGGCGCATGTCGTAGA